CTTTCCCTGTCTCCTTCTCACTCTCGCCCTGCTCCTTTTTCATCCTGAAACCTCGCCGCGCGCGAGTCCTCTCGTCTCCGCGGGCTCTCTCGCTACACGATTCCGCTACACGCGCGCTCTCCTCCTTCCCCTTTCTCTGCTCTCTTTATCAAAACAATACATATGCTTACGGTGTGCGAGCGCGCGCTCCTCCTGATAATCGTGAATATCAATCAGCGATTTTATAAATAATTCAGTAAAAACCGATAGAACCGCCGGAGCCGACGTGAGTCCTTCTTCTTCTTCCCCTCCCGCCGCTCCCACTCCCCTCCATCCCCCCGCCCATTATCCTGGCTTCTTTCCGTAATTGACGACAGTTCACAATAAATGCGGCGAATAATTAAGACACCATTACTTCCTGGTTAAGTTACAGTACCATTGGGAAATTGTTTGGAAAGATGCTCGATCTTGGGAGGGGGTGATCGACGACGCAACCGACTTTAATTTTTCTCCTACTTTTTTCACTTTTCTTCTTACCGATTATTACTCCTAATCGATTTTAAATTATAATTCGCTCAAAAACCGTTTAAATCTTGTCAAGGAAATTTTAAGAAAAATTTTAGAATCGATTTAACGAATTAGATATGTGTTCCTTTCCTTTCCTTTTTTTTTTTTTTTTTTTTAATGACTTTCGGAATCGATAATCAATTAGCCCCCATTTTCAGCATACTTCTGCTTCGGTGTTATATCAGCAGAAATTGCACTCGTGAAATAACAGTCGAGATATGCTGTTGCACGGTGAAAACGGTGGTAAATTTCATTGGCTAATGTTCACGAAATATCCGGTAAAGGTTTGTCGAGGAATACGTGATTTAGCTCATCGAATTAATGTATCATGCGATCGTCCGGACGAGAGTGGTACGATCCTGTTCGACAGAAGTGATTCTCTCTCGAAATCGAGCAACTCGCCGGTGAATTTAACCAGTCTACGGATTTTTTACACAATCAGGGGTAATTATCTTAATCACGTTTATCTGTTACATGATACGGATATGCGGCGAGATTAAAATGTTATTTCGCATAAAATTCGCCCGGCTTTGAGCGTCAATGGCTAGGTAATGATCGAGCGTAAGAGCTTAACTCTTGATTACCTGATTAATTACTTCGTTCCAAGTTGAATAACTTCGCAAAACATTAGGTAACGCCGATAATTAAAGACTAAAGCCGAACAGATTGCACGGATAATTATCCGCTAGGCTTGACAAACAGTCACTAATAATTCAATTAAGGCACACCACGGTGCGTCGTAGCCCCAATAAAGGAAATACTCCAAAACGAATGCACCTGCATAGGGTCACTGATGGAAATGATATCCGAGTCTCGATATTTCACGCTATTTAAAGATGAAAATTTCACTGTGGAATTCTCTTTCTTGTCAGACGATTTCTTCATCCTCCGAGACTCTAAAATTATTAACCCTTTGCACTCGAGAGGCTCTCGCCATTTGATAAAATTTCGAAGATCGATACTCGTTAATGTATCAAATTTAAGATAATGTAATGTTAGTTATAAGATTTCTTATTTACTGCTCCAAACAATATCACAAGCTTTAGAGCAGAAAATCTTTGAAATCCTACTCTTCTTCAGCCAAAAAGTCGTCGAGTGCAAAGGGTTAATGCTAAACCAATCTATGCTATACAGGTCTGCGAATAAAGGCTATATTTTTTTACAATTCAGTACGAGTAATAATTAGTGGATAAAGCAGTTAGATAGTAACAAAATAGATTAATTTTTATTTCCATTTTGAACACGAACAGAGAATAAAATTTAAATAATAATCGTACAACTTTATTCGCATGGATTCACTCGATTGATTAATCATGGTAGGTTTAGCGTAGAACCATTTATCCAGAACTTATTATCTCTTCAAACAAGATATCGTAAACCTCCCTTCGCTATTCACTTCTTCCTAGAAATCATACGTACACATATGTAAAATATATGTAGAGTACGGGACAAAATGATTTTATGATTTATAATTTCTCGACATTATTAAAATTAATGCAATACGTAGATTTTACACACGTACCCCTTTC